CCATCTAATCCCAAGTGTAGAAGCCACGGCTGTTGTATGCTCATGAATTGTTGTTCTTCGTCTTCTCTCAGAAGAACAGCCAATACACTACGTAACAGCACGAATTTCGGCGCAAGCAAATTTTATTGCAGATGGACATACTTTGCTCAGCATAAGACTAGACAACCTCTGCCTAGCAAATCTGTACTGTCAAATGATATGAGCATAACCTTACACTTTAAGGCATAAGGATGAGATCGGCTTTCAGTGTTATATTGCATACAGAAACTATCAGATAGAAAAGCTAAATTCCTGTATTACTAATTAAAGGAGAATCATCTGCGCCCTCGAACTGTTGTTTATTAAAGGATATATTTTGGGCGATGGCAGGGTAAAGTATTCAGCCTGATCCTTTTCTAGGAACAGAATGATTTTTAGAAGTTCACCGAATCAGCTCGTATAGGTACTGGCGCAGAACAAGTTCTAGTTTTGAATGTCCATCAATCAGTCCAACGCATTAAATAATATGTATTTCTCTTCTAAATGACAAATTCGTCAAATGACTTGTCCTCATTACGGGAAAGTCATGAAAGAAAGTCGACGCTCCTCCAGCATTCGCCATTTTCCGTTCTCTAAACCCCCATTGAATCGCCACGGAGTTTCCTTGGACAACTGAACTGATGCATGTGCTCCAGCGAAGTCCAGTTTTAAATTTTTGATGTCCACCGGTTATCTCTCAGACGAACCACATGACCGACGCCTCTTTCCGTAGGGGTCATGAGGAGAAAGCTTGTTGCTGCTTCATAATCATAAATGGTTATGAAAAACTGCTAAAACGAATAGCAATTTTTTTCTGCTGGTATTACGGTTGTAAGAGTAAAGATATTCTTGTCCTTTACAAGTTCGCTTGCAAAACAAATCTTCGTGAAGTGTTCATCAAATTACTGACGATGCAACTTTCTCATTCAACCTCGTAGGACTCGTGACATACATAATCGGTTTTGTAGCATAGGAAAAGCTCCCACGCCGATTTCCTATGAGTGTGAAAAAAATTACAATCTGAGGCAAGCCAAAACTGCAAAATTGAGGACCGCGCTGGACGGCACCTTTGAAGAGCCGCTATTGTGCTGTGAGGGTAGCAGTTTCTCACCAAAGCATGGCTGCACCATCTGAACCGAGCCAAGCAAACTGCAAAAGCATGAATACCCGGAGCCTTGCTTGTTACATGAAGTCTTAACACAAAAGTTCATACACAACGCTGCACACATAATGCAATACCGCAAATACAATAAACTTCCAGAAAAGTGTTTTCCTATGAAAACCTCTGGTTCCATTTAAAGATCACAAAGATAATTCAGTTATCGCATTAAATATTAGATTAAATCCAACTCTGCACGAGTGCTTAAGGCTTTTTTTGCCATAAGTAATGAATTATAAATGTCATTAACCGTTCAGAGAGACGACCGAACGTACAAGTTTCGAGGACGGAAGGTGATCAATCTTATTTGCTCAGTCTAATATCAGACTTCATATTCCACTCAAAGAATTAGAAAGAAAATTTTCTCCTCTATTCAGAGAATCGACGGCTTGACAAATTTGCAGCATCGAAACGTCGACAGATTTCGAAAATCAAAGACAACTTTCTCACTACACACTGAGATTATAGTCTGGATAAAATCTTCCGTTCATCTACTGCGTGAAAGTCATCGTTTATTTACTGAGTCGTCAAAAGATTTAAAGCTTTCTTGGGGATTAAGACGGATGATAGCATCGAACTTCTCCGTTTCAATTTACTGTCGAAGTGCCTTTTTCTTTGTCAGATTTAATAAAAAGAATGTCTTCATTAGCCAAACGTATCAGGATTTATGGCAGAGCCTCATTACTAGAAAAAATCCACATGTACGATGCACTTTGATTTGGATACCTCATTCATTACTTAAAATTAGTTATAATTAGCCTTATTCCTAGAGGTACCTATCATCTACTGCGTGAATCAAATTGAAAAATTGTCTTTATCTAATACTCGAGTCCTTGAATACATGCAAACTCAAAGAAAAAATGGTAAAATAACTGCAGAATAACCGGCAATATCATGCCAAATTTGCTTCCATTCATGTATCAAAAGATTATTAGGGTAGCTGCAGCGGTAACCGTTGCTTTATATAACATCATAAGATTTCAGCATGCTCGCAGTTATCTTAAAAAGCTCCTAATCCTTACTATTCTCTGCAGTAATCAATGCTGTTCCAGAAAATAATGTTCCTTTTCTTGACTTATCTGAGTTAGCATGCTGCAAAATAATTTTAGTTATCTTTCAAAGGCCTGCTGAAACATCACACAAAATTTTTCGAAAGTAAGTTGAACAAGGAGAATGTTAAAACGACACTAGAAAACGTCGTTAGTTTTTGATAATTTACTGTGTTAATGAAGAAAATCGAACAAGCGAAAACAATTTTAAATTTATGCGCCATGATGTAAAGGAGCTGAAGCAGAACAGCATAAACTTAAACACCATTATAGAGGTCAACCTTTAACTTCAGCGGCGCATGCCAAACACAACAAAACATCAATCTGTAGCGATGATCATCCAACAAGCGTGAAGTGCATTCGGCGTTCTGCGATGTCACCGGATCATAAGTTGTACAGCAGCTGTAAAAATCTCGAGCCAATCCTCAGATGTCTTCACTGGTCACTAGCAACTTCTTTACAGATGCTTCAAATGAGTAAGAATAATGGAGGGAAAGTAACGCGTTCATTTTCCAAGGCTAGTTACTGCTTCAGCCGGTGGTCGTACCCATAAACTTGGACATATCTTGGACAGCGGCCGCTTTGCATCACAACATGAAACGATCCGACCTTCTTAACAGCTCGTAATAAGCCTCAATATGTAAAGTTACAAGGTGGCGAGTAGATGACGACGGCTAAAGTGCGGCTGCATTCAGACGTACATACTTTCAGCCATGAATGACATCTTTCGAGGTATATAAAGGTAGTCCTCGAAGTATGCAGATATTTCAGTTACAGAGAGTCCGGTCTGCAAGAACGAAGGTGATTCAGCAGGTCGTCGAAAACTGTGGCAAAGAAAACCGGGTAGCAATGCGTCAACGTCCTCAACTTGAAAGAAGTCACACAGCGGTATCAGCTGGTCGATCGAGTATCCCATAATGGATGAATCCCACTGATTGGTCGAAAGTACTTTTTTGGGGTCAATTGTCTTCATTTTTAAAGGCTTCAGAATTTGAACTTGCTCAAAACCCGAAGCCCGGTCAAACCGTATCCTCAGCGGCACGTACGGGCGGAATCGCCAAGATCGCTGATGACCCCTGAAAAAACACGCAGCTAGCGGTAAAACACAAATAGAAGTCAAATGCCAAAAAATAACTTTACCGAGACGGAAGCTTCCTGCCAATACTGCCTCTGAAATCACATTCGTCCTTCAGCAAATTCAAATTTTCGAAAGCTGCAACTAGTTCATCTTCACGCGGTACTTGATTCGCCATACTCCACAAACTCCTACTAGCAACATGCAACATATCCATCAACGAGATGATTTGCAAGTTCTAAGCGGCCATACATTAACATCTTTAACTACAGTAAGTCATAAGTTTGTTTTATTGACCAAAAATTTTTTATCAAAACCGAAAACCTGATTATTTGTGTTTTATCCTCCTAGTTAAGATTGTCATCAACTAAATTTATGGAAGCGCTTTTTACTTCATGCAGCTGTTGACTCTCCAGCAAAATATCAGTACCGTTTGTTACCGCGCCTTTTTTCGTCAGAGTTAAATGATTTGATGTAGCGGCTTCCAAAGAAAAATATTATCTGTGTTTGGCTATCTTTCTCTTAATGGTAAATTCGAGATTTGCCAGAACAACTTGAAGATATATTAATGTTTGGATCCCATAGCTGGCAGTACAAAAGTGAAAAATATGTATTTGAAATGCGGCATCATGCATCAACTGAAAGTCGATAATTCAATTGCGGCCCATCAAAGATAGTTGCAAAAGAGTCCGAGGTTAACGGAACGCACTGTGAGGTATATATTTTCTCCTGTTGCGTTACCTTTGTATAACTCTGTGTAATAATTGTAATCCAGACGTATATAAATGAAAATCTTCGAATTTGTCATGTTCATTTGCTGCAGGCGATGCTGAAATGGTTTAAAAACACAGATAATGGCGTAAGCTCCCAAGCAGGATAGAGCTGTTATATAGGCTTTAGCCATGGTGCACTGCAAACTGATCGATAAAACAAACTGTAACTTCTCAGAGGTACTTTTCATGCCTGCTAATTTTACAATAACCCTTTACTGTAGAATAAACAGCTGCAATAATTTTTTGCGCTTATAGCCGATACATTTTAAACAACTCGCCCTTGACTGGGAACATTGCGAAGAATTGTGTGTAATCTGGCTAACCCATAAGAATGAAGGTCCCCACACAAATTACTTTTACGAAGTCGGAATAAGAATTTTTATAGTAGTATTTAAATTGCAGAAGAACAAATGATCGAATTTGTTTCTTCAGCTTTGCCTGCAGCCTCAATCAATTGTTGTAACTTTTCTGCGAGCTGCCTGAGCTATACCACCAGCGTTCATTGTGAATCCCGTTTTGGCTGCCCGACTGATTTAAAACGATAATCGAAAAGCATGTTTGTACGTCAGTTCAGCAGGTCCAGCTCGTAAGATGGGTGAATTTTATTTGTCGTTCCAAGTAGCACTGAAACAAGCATCCCAAAATACGAAGTTTAAATAGCTACTGGTGTACGCCAGTGTCCATTCGGTGTGAATGGAAACATCTGTATGCAACATATGCCTATTTAGCGGTGCTGATTGTTGAAAATTTACTCGTCAACAGTAAGAAAGAACACGGATCTTTTGCTGCATTAGCATCACTGTAGAAACCGAATCGCCAGATGATGAGTTTACACCCCGTAGCGTCTTCTACATGATGCTGGCTAATCACAGACAAATAATTGTTTGAACATCATTTTTTTATCCACTCATTATTTCAGCAGTCAACAAGCAAAGCATAGCTTACCGATTAAGAAGACCTAGACAAAGAGGTTCCTGTGCGGAGCGCTTGTACTTTTAAAGAAACTTCCTCAGAATGCCGATTTATTCAATTGTTGTTCAAATTTAATTACAAAAATTAGCAGTAGTTTTAAGGCATCCGAAAGCAGAATGCCAGCCTAGATGTTGGATGCTGAAACTGTACGGCAGAATCGCAAAACACATGTTCTACTTTACTCTTTCTCATACATATCTTACGCCACATCGGCATTGCAAAAAACGGTGAATTAGGTGCACGGTCGATTCGTTTTGTCCTGTACATGTGCGTAGTGAAAATAGGTGACAAGACTACGCCAAGAGTGTCAACTACTTGAAAGTTCAAAAACTTCATTTAATATAAACTGTCGCTTTTCTCCTTCCAAGTTGACCTGCAGAAGTAGCTCCATGTAGAATCAAAAATATAAAAAGCAGCGGCTTATTGGTGGTCAAGAATGTACCGCGTTATCGAAGGAAGTTAGTTTCTTCTCTCTAGTTGTCGTCATCTGGTGTATCAGGATCGAGGACAGAGTACCCAGATTAATGATGCCTGTAATTCCTCTTCATCTTCTCCAACTTCCATCGCAGCTTCTACTTTTGGGTCGCAGAAGCAGACGCGTCAGACAGAAGTTCTAACTTTCCTGATCCTGTGCCAGAGTTTGAACTTCGGCAGAAGACAGCTGCAGTCTGGAACAGACACCATCCATATATTTACACCAGGTTAATCTTGGCCGTCCCCTGGGCCTTCTGTCGGTCGGATTCTCAAGAAACATTTGATTAGCCTTCCTTTCTGGAGGCATTCGCAACAAATGCCCAAACCATCGAAGCTGCGACTTCTCAATCTGGAGAAGCAAAGGCTGTAATCCAAGGCTC